AGTGCCAGGACAACAAAGCCGTTTTCCTGGCACTATAGGTTTCTACAGTGCCCCCCTCCCGCAGCACTTAAGGGTGTTAAAACCCCTTCAGTCACTTACCTGAATCCAGCACCAATGTCCCTCTGCCCTGGATCTGGTGGCGCCACGCTCCTTCCCCGCCACTTTTGCTGCTCCACTCTGCAAAGTCCTGCAAATGGTCTAATCAACAATAAGATGTCTTTACAAACCCTCCACAGCTCTTTGATCTCTACACCCCTGTATTTTATTACATTTAATCAATATGCAGAAATGGAAAACACCTATACAAGCACTTCTCTCTTCTCCTAGGAAGTACCCATCTGTGGTAGAAAATTTGCACTTGTCAATAGAGATTGAAAGGTAGTAACTAAAATGGGATATTTGTAGACTTCAAAGTGTCAAATCTTATAAATGGCGCTGCAGTCCAAAGTCAATCTAATCGTATTCATACATACAACTCCTACCTTATTATATTCATATTCAACCACACAGTCACCCATCTAATTACAAACCCCAGCCTAGTCACTTTTAGGAAACTAATTCCATACCACAACATAGGCCTCAATTTTTGGATAAGCTGTTCAAAATAATGAAATATTTTTTAATTAATTAAAAAAATTTCAATATATAAAATTATCAAAAAATATATATCGTATATATATAAAATATAACAAAAAAAGTAAATATTTTTCCAAAAACGTAAATCATTTGAAAAGCTTATACATAAATATTAAAGGTAATAATTACCATCAACCACCCACACACACAGTCCCATACTCTCTCGCCAGGGGAGGGACTGTTCTGAGAAATTTTAGGTGACTTACAAATAACAATTTATGCAACAAAAATGTAATTTAGAACAAGAACAATGTGTCTTATATACTGTTCTTAAACAGTTTGACAAATTACTCTGGCAGGGTGTGAGAGTACTCCTGGCACTTTAAATCACTAAAGCAGGTTTTAGTAGTTATGATGCTTAGAGTGTTCATTTAAAACAGAAAGCTGGGTGCTTCATGTATTCATAACAGAGTCCTTTAAAACACACATAAACTCCCCCCTCCTCCCCCCCTTCACCCTCACACGGCATATAAAGGTTTAAAAAACTCTTTAAATTAAACTCTTGCCAATTTCAATGCCGAAATCCCTCAGCACTAGATCAGTGTCCTACTTCCTCATAGGAAAGCATAGTCTCAATGCTTTATATACAATATGGACATGTGTTCAGTGTTTAAAAATAAATATATATATATTTACTCATATGACTACTTTTTATTAAAAAAAAAAAAGCAAAAGTGTCAGTTCATGCATACTCTGTTGTATGAATCCATAGAGATTTGTACAGTGATTACAATGAATCCAGTGGGAGGATAGGTTGACACATTGCAGCTATTTTCTAATAACTGAGACAGTACTCTAAGAAAATTGCAGCACCTTGGTTGAACACTGAGTTTAATTCACCATTTTTATTTTGTAAAAAGGTAGTAAATCGACATCGAGGACAGGTTTGTTTGGATAACGCAAGAGTAAAGCAATGCTTCTTATCATCACACAGCAGAGAGACCAGATTTGGTGTCAGGAAAGCCCCACTATTTTTCACCCATGCAAGGTTATTTACTAAACTGAGAATTGTCAGGGATTCAAAGCGAATTAAATATAATTATCAAATGTAAGGTGAAAGTAATCAAAGTGGAAGCATAGCTGACTAGCCTTAAATTTTAAATTTATTTTGAATCGCCAACAATTCGCAGTTTATTGAATAACCTTGTGAATAATATGGTTTGACTAAAAATACATGAGTGAATGCACCCAAATATGTATTGTACTGTAGCGGAGTAGAAGTATAAACTGCAATATCTCCACTGGTAGACGTAATCAGCATCCAAATAAAGGGTAGCATAGTAATTCCAATCCCATTCCCAACAACTGGATGAAACACAGTTTTGGGAGTCAACTGAACTTTTATTGAACCACAGCTGGCTTTATACAAATCCCCATGCAAGGGGTTTCCTTAATGACATTCCAGGGTTTTTTCCCTGGTGGACCTTGTGGAAGACAGGGAACAAAGTTACATTTCCCATTATCCTTTTCTGTACTGGGAAGGTAACTGCGTAAGAACACTTCTTTAATTAAATTATCTCCCAGTACAAAACATTAACCCCTTAAGGACACATGACATGTGTGACATGTCATGATTTCCTTTTATTCCAGAAGTTTGGTCCTTGTTTAAGGATTAAACAATATTTTAAAAACATAATAACTCTTATAATATTTACCAGAACTCCACTTCACTGAATAGCTGGGATCTGAGCGCTCAATCTGTCGAATTATCGCTCAGATCCGTTTGGTAGAACAGAAAAGCCATTCGAGTGAAGCTTTGGACGGTCAGCCAAGAGGTGAAGTCCCAAATTAGTTCCAGGCAATTGGAGGCTTTGACCGGTCTCCTTTTGGGAGTTCATACGAATAAAACAGACGAATGCACATATTCATAAATTGGGTAGTCGTGTGTCTGGAGGTCGCTGGTTTCATTTAGTCTAACCCCGTTCTGTTTGGACAAACAGAAGTACACGAACGAACAGGATGGAAGTCCAGCGAAGTACGCGAGGTCGAGTGTCCGATTTTAGTTCCATGCACTCGACGGAACATGCGCGCTACGGAATATGCTGGCGCTATATGAATACTTAGCTCTATATAAATAGTATATATAAATAGCTCTATATAAACACTGATGCAACAATTCTTCTCTGTGTATATCAGAGGAACAGGCACACAGCTAGATGTTTGTCCTTCTCTTTCCATTAATTAAAAAGTTTCAGATTCTAAAGAAAAGCCAAATGGCTCTGAGTTGTCTGGCAGAACTCGTCTGTCCATAAACCTCACTTGTGTCCAATTAAACTGATCTGGAAATTCAGTAAACCAGTAAATGTGCAGTGGGGCTGATTTATCAATGACCTGCTATCCAGCACAATCTAATTCACTGTCACGCTTTAATGGTTATATGTTGCCTGAGTCAGACCTGTGAAGTGAACCTTTAGACACTGAGAACATCGGTTCTGCAGCTCTTAAATACAACTATCTCTGCTTACTCAGAGCTCCACTCTCTGAACTTTTTATAGTAACATTCCATGTAGTTGAAGCATCACCAAGGACCAAGAACATGAGAATCATTTCATTCAAACACACCAAAGCTTATTCAATTATCTCAGGCACTTAATGTCTCCAGTGCAGTTCTGAAGGGTTTCTTGTTTACGGAAATCTTGAGAGATGTAACATATAATGTATTTATCCGCACATAAAAAAGTACTACAGGAACACACGGCGTCTGTGACATTGGATAAAGAACAAGTACTGTACTTCAGCATTTATTTGTATGAATCGGATGCAAATATGCAGTTTTTAAGGGGTTGAACACTGTTTTACTTGGGAGACTTCACTGAAAACAAATATTAGTGATTCAAAACAGTAAAACATATGACAGCGATGATATTGTCAGTGAAAGTGACTTTTTTTTTGCATTTTTCACACACAAACAGCACTTTTACTGATGATTTAATTGTTGTGATACGTTTTCCTGTTTTGAAACACTAATATTTGTGTTCAGCGATGTCTCCCGAGTATAACAGTACCCCCCATGTACAGGTTTTATAGCGTTTCTGAAAGTTACAGGGTCAAATATATGGGACCAATATTTTTACATTGAAGATGGCCAGGTTGGTTAGGTTGCCTTTGAGAGCGTATGGTAGCCCAGGAATGAGAATTACCGCCATGATGGCATACCATTTGCAAAAGAAGACAACCCAAAGTATTGTAAATGGGATATGTCCAGTCTCTTTTAGTAGCCACTTAGTCACAAACACTGGCCAAAATTAGTGTTCAATTTAGTTTTTTACTTTTTTCACACATAAACAAATATGAACACTAACTTTGGCCAGTGTTTGTGACTAAGTGGCTACTAAAAAAGACTGGACATTCCCCATATTGAATACCCTGGGTTGTCTACTTTAAAAAAATATGTACA